AACTAAAAAATTTTGGCCCCCTTACTTAATTACTTGGGCCCCCTTCCTTAAAAAAATTTCATGGGGAGAGGATCGCCGTTTCTTTTGCGAAAATAAAACGCCCCCAAAAATTTTTTCCAAACATTTTGCGATAATGGGGGGTTAAAAATACTTTTCAGAGCTTTTCCGACATCAATTTTTCAGAATATTCCTTAACATTTAGCACGTTCCGAAATTTTAGCATTCCGGGGCCACCTTCTTTGGGGGGTGCTACACCCCACACCCACCCCAGTAGTTCCAGCCCTGCATATATGATCGATCAGGAAGGAAGGAATATTTCCAAGAAAAAGAACATAGAAAATGAATGAGCATGCCAGTAAATCTTAACCACTCATTTCAAGAAACAAAAATTTAATTTGAATATTGCCTAACAAATACTACAGTGCTATACAGACAGTTAGAAATTACTTTCTAATTAGCAAAGCTGAAGGTACAATTATTCCTTGGCGGCGTCCTTCTCGACGACATATGGTTTCTCAACTGGCAAGTCACCAGAGCCGGCAATGGCTACATCTTTGTTTGGTTTGTCGTTTTGACCGGTTCTAGTGTTCTCGATCTTTCTCACAATATCCTGAAAACAAGGAAGTTTGAAATATTAAAAATACCTAAACGCTCAGGTTGATGCAATACTGAAAAACATTGGTATCGACCGGGTGGGCGAAAATATACAAACATCAATTCTCATAACGAGAACACGATATCTGATATCTCGATCATCTATATATACTGGGTTTTTTTTTGCAAACAATTTTTCAAGACAAGATAAATTATTTTTTCTCCAGGAAAACGAAAAGTCATCATTTTGTATCAAAGTCTAAATTATTCATATATTATTCATATATGAAGACGAGAAAGTCTGAACATGTAAGGAATGTAAAACACAGCAAGAAGGGATCGAATGTTGCAAAACACGCATGGACTCAAGACCATATAATTGACTTTGCCAATGCTCGGTGATAGACAAGGGAAATCATAGAAACCTTAAAACCTTAGAGTCCTGGTACACTGCACTAACAGACGAAGCTGATAATAACTCTAATACGCTTCCAGCACAGTACACAATACTTTTAAGAAAGGAACTCAAGAAACATTAATTAGTTAAATATTCATATTACCCATTTGTAACATAGCATAGATAGTCTCAGATTTCATACCACCTACTTAATTTTAGCGTCCTTTATAGAATCATTTGTATACACCCGTCGAAGGCTATAGACTGATAGCCGAAAGCTCGTAGAAATAAATATTAAGTCAGAGAACGCTCAATAATTAATGTTTCAACCTGGCTACGCGCATCTTCTATTTTCAATTATTCATATATTGTAATTTATACTCTGTCAATTCTTTTCAATGATTTATTGTATTGGTAGCCGTTGCCGTCGCGTTGCCGTCCTAAATCGTAAGGTCTCTAATTTATGTCACATACACGAAACTAACGAAAGCGAAGCTCTATCGCCAAAGTGATGTACTTTCCAGAAGGGTGTATTATCGTAGTTCCAGACGAAAAATTCGTTGGACCACTGTAGACAAACGACGTCATTTTTTTACTGTAGTGTGTCTTTTTAGAAAACTGGTATGATTAGAAATTTCCAAACATTTTGAGAAATTTCTGTATTCCATTTATTCCCCTCTTTCAAAATATTGAACTGAGAAATTATATGAAAAACAATATAAAATCTATAATTCGAAGGAATGTTAATGTTAAAGATGATTTTTCGTCCTGTAGATGCCATGTATTTACCGACCAGATTTAATAAGAGTCGTACCCAACACGTAAATTAATCAAATGATGCCATCAAAAACTTAAAATTTCCTGGTCTGTGGCAGAATCTTATTCGTCAGCCGACAAGATTGTCGGCTTGATATACGAAAATTTTCCAGCAATTGAGTTTGAGCAAATTAATGCATGGACACTCAATTTTGACAATATGAAACATAACTCAAACTAGGGATCCAAGGATAGTGTGAAGTTTCAAATTTAAAAAGACACTGCAAGAACTATATAGGGTCGCCAACAACCTAGAAAAGCTTGATGGCTTACACTACGAAATAAACAGTTACCAAAGGCATTTCATCTCATTATTTATTGCTTTTAATACGCTCGGCACACGAGTAGCGTGACGTTTCAAACAAGCCTAACACATCAGAAACGTGCCTTGTGAAACTGGTGCAATTCATCTATTTATTGTGTCACCAACAACCAAATTTTGCATATTCTAAATTTTCATTTGCATTTGCAGCTGTCGCTGAAAACATCCCCACGAGACTACTGCTATGCTATAAATGTATCTAATAAACTATAATTGAAATAGCTGTATAAGATATGTTATGAATAATAAGCACTACGTCGTTACATCATTAAAAGACGCATTTTATCGTTATCCGTTCCCTATTTTATCCGCATATCCGTTCCGTGGATCCGCTCTATCCGCTTCCGCATTTTAACTTAATGTGACATGTTTCACAATAACAAGTTTCATTGACCTTTGACTTTTCCCAGTGTGACGTGTGTCTATTTCCAGCTTTTCGCATGTGTTGAATATAAATATCACTTTAGGGGCGGACCATTAGAAATCCCGGGAGGGGGGGTGAAAATTCCCAAAAAAAAATTCGTGCAAAGAAAAATGCCTGGAAAAAAAATTCGTGCAGCCATTACGTCAGAGAAAAAAAATTCGTGCAAGCAAACAACAAAGTATAAGTAGTCTTGAAAAAAAATTCGTGCAGAGGTTAAATGCATTAAAAAAAATTCCTGCAGAGACATGAGACTGAAAAAAAAATTCGTGCCGCAAAAATTTTATACCCCCCCTCCCGGGATTTCTAATGGTCCGCCCCTTAGATTTCAATAGTTTCACAGTTATAGCAGTGTTTAAAACATTTTTGACAAGCTTTGATACAGTTCTGTGTACAGAATACTACAGATTGATTCTCGTAAGATCTGGTAGAGTTATCGTTGCACTGAATACGAGTTTGCACCGTTGACAACGGCGTTTTGTGCTAGACACTAGACAGTATTAACAAAGACAAGGGCAAGGTCCGTGAATGTACACGTTGGCTAAATGTACCTCCTTGCTTTTTTCTTCTATTGCATAAAGCTTGTTGGCGAGCCAATTAAGTGATTAGCGATAACACGTTGGCGATAACACCTATTAAACACGTTGGCTATCTCCTCGTCTTTCTTATTTATACAAGGAGCTCTGACTCAACTGATTCCTTTAGACCCTTTAGTCTCGTAAGTTTTTTTCTTCGTAAACGCCGTACAAACGTTTACCCGCTTCTGTTTAATAGTTGTTTATGCTTTATTGATCTGATACAAATCTGATGCAATTTTTCGCTCTTTGTACATGAGTATAGCCATCTAATCTGTGATGTAGCACCTTATACAGTCAATGAGAATGTATAACGAATACACGGTCTAAATAATATCGACGGTAATGCATAACATCAGTTTATATATTCTATTACTATTATTGCGTAGAATCTCAAAGATTTTCTCAATATTCATGTCTGAAATATTTATATACTTGAAAACAACACTGTCTCACTTCTGCCTGCACGTACTGTACCTCTGTATAATGAGTATGCCGTGAAAAAATAATATCGGCACTCAATTGAATGCCTAGAAGCAAGATTTTCGACTCAATATTTACGTCTGAAATGTTTATACACTTAACTGCACTGTCTAGGCGGTCTAGCTCCTTCCCAGCTCTGTATAATGAATATACCGTCTAAATATTATCGGCACTTATTAAATTGAACGCCCGTAATGCATAAGATCAATTTATATATTGTGTAGATTTTCAAAGATTTACTCAATATTCACGTCTGAAATCTTTATATACTTGAAAACAACACTGTCTCGCTTCTGCCTACGTACTGTACCTCTGTATAATGAGAATACCGTGAAAATAATATCGGCACTCAAATGAATGCCTAAGAATCAAGATATTCAACTCAATATTTACGTCTGAAATGTTTATACACTTAACTGCACTGTCTAGGCGGTCTAGCTCCTTCCTAGCTCTGTATAATGAATATACCGTCTAAATATTATCGGCACTTATTAAATTGAACGCCCGTAATGCATAAGATCAATTTATATATTGTGTAGATTTTCAAAGACTTACTCAATATTCACGTATGAAATGTTTATATACTTGAAAACAACACTGTCTCGCTTCCTCCTACGTACTGTACCTCTGTATAATGTGAATACCTTGAAAATAATATCGGCACTCAAATGAATGCCTAGAATCAAGATATTCGACTCAATATTTACGTCTGAAATGTTTACACACTTGACTGCACTGTCTAGGCGGTCTAGCTCCTTCCTAGCTCTTTATAATGAATATACCGTCTAAATATTATCGGCACTTAATTGAACGCCCGTAATGCATAAGATCAATTTATATATTGCGTAGATTTTCAAAGATTTACTCAATATTCACGTCTGAAATCTCTATACATCTGAAAACAACACTGTCACCCCTTCCTAGCATATCGTCACGCCATCGTGATCTACGGCTTGATAGCGCATGCGCATTTGCGCTACTAAAGAAAAAATCGGGTGTTCCGGGGGTAAAGATCCTTTACACAACATGAGAAGCGAATGTTCTAAAATTTACAAAAAATTACAATAACGAAAGCGATTCCTCGAAATTTTTGTGAACTTGGCAAAAGGAAACAGAATATGTGAATAAGTTAACTTAAATTGCCTAAATAACCTTCAAAGTACTGACTAAGTACAATAAATCACTACGAACATAAATCGTATACACCCCCCGGAAAGTTTACTCTATGACTGACTGACTGACTGACTGACTGACTGTTTGACTGATTCGTGTGAATTCGCCAGCCATCACAATAGTGTGAAGTGAAACTTCACACTAAAAACTGTGCCCGGTTCCATGTCGCAATTTGCAAGCTTCAAGCGAAGGAGAAGTTTGGACTACGCAGGGCTAACTGAAAATGTTTTATGGCTACCTGCAAAAAAATTAAATATACAGGCATGCTAGATGCTGCAGTTACTTTCTTCGAAAAATGTTTTTAAGTTTATGCGTAACCGTAATAAATATTGAAATCTCCAAAACGCAGAAAAAATACAGAGAAGTAAATTTCAACCACTGTCAGTACGCTAATTCGTCGAAATTGTCCCATTTCCTGTCATACTGACGTTTCAGCCGGAGCTGGGAGAAAGCACAGCAACTCCGGCGAACCGAAAACGGCCGGAGATCCGGCAGAACTCCGGCCTCTGGCGCACAGCACTAGCAGCACTATCGCCTTGACGAGTAAAATTGACTAGCTTTAGATAGTAAAATAAGGTAGGAGGGCGTATTCACTGGTATTGTTGCTATTTCAAGGGTTAATCACTTACCATTCCTTCGACTACTTTGCCGAATACAACATGACGTCCATCTAACCATGGTGTCTTTACAGTGGTAATAAAGAATTGAGAACCATTTGTATCTTTACCAGCATTTGCCATGCTTAACCATCCAGCACCATAGTGAGTCAGTTTGAAGTTTTCATCAGCAAAACGCTCGCCGTAGATACTCTTGCCTGAAACGGGGCACAGTATATCAAATATTTACGTGTAGTACAAACAATGTTCAACAATCTCAGAAAAAAATCCGTACTGGGCGGAGGGTTAAATACGATTCCATATAGTATACAATGCATAACATCAAGCAGTACTAATAATAAACAGTTATTGGATGAGGTTTTTGTGACATCCAGAATTATAAGGTCGAGGGATATCAGGGCTCAAAGTAACGGGAGATACTGTAAGTCTCCGGTCAAAATAACCGGTCGACTTGATTTTAGGTCGGTCAAAATCTGTTTTTGACCGGCCATTGATACGCTTACATTAGTATAGGTAATAGCATGATTTCGAGTGCAATTTGGATATAACATGCACGAGTGAGTTTTTCAAACACGTCAAAATAGCACGAGTCCGAAGGACGAGTGCTATTTGAGGTCTTTGAAAAACTCACGAGTGCATGTTTATCCAAATTTCACGAGAAACCATGCTATTACTTATTAATAATTTACATAAAAATGTTCGAGACAATTGTAGGCTAGTTTTAACTTACGCGTTTATGGCGAACATTCCACTGGCAAAGTTTTCCAGGCTTTGTTTCATCACATTATACAACGCTAACAGCTTGAAAATTCCACTCAACTGTGTATTTTTTGTTAGTCTTGTTTAAGGTAAATGCCATTTAAAAATAGAGATAAAAGCCATATTTTCCACGTGAAGGCAACTTTTACTTTGTGTAGCGCGGCGCCATGTTTGTTTTGTTTTGTTTTGAAGCGATCTGTGACCGTTACTTCTTTAAAACTGCTTTAAACTGATTGGTTGATTTAATCATCACAATGTTTTTTCCACCAATCAGATCAGTTTGTTACAGATTTTTGCACTGTGATTACAGAAAATTGCACTGTGATTACAGAAAATTGCACTGTGCCGGATTACAAAAAATTGCACTGTGATTACAGAAAATTGCACTGCTGTTTGGGATTAACTGCGCTGAAATCAAATCAACTAGTCACAGTCGAGTAATATCTTTATGTATACTATTAACAGCGAAACAAACTATTAGAAACTTGTTTCGATACATCATAGTTTCGTGTTTTAATTCAAGACGTCAGAAATCACATTGGAAGGCATGAAAATGTGGCCGGTTAAAAAATGACCGGTGAGGTAAAAAAGTGACCGGTCAAGAGGCATTTTTGGCCGGCCGTTATATTCAGCCCTGGATATCTCAAAAACCGAATTCAATAACTGTTTTATTATACATTGCATTTTCATATCTTTCGACAAGCAATAATTTGTCAAACAAAACAACGTTTATCTCTCACAAAAATTAGCAATGAAAACGATTTGAAATATCACAAAAAGCAGCATAAAATATCAGAAATCTCATCTTCACCTACTAGAGCAGGCTCGGAAAATATATTTCTCTTCCTGGAAGCAAAATCCAAAAATAAAAATTTCCTGTGTAAGTCAATTACAACTGTAGGCAAATATAAAACTTCTTGCATGTGGTAGATTTCAGAGAACGTATGGTGCCACACATTGTGGTCAACTTCAATTTCGGCATTCGACTTGCAAAATGCTTTTGGAATTTTTAAACAATAAGTAAATTATATTTGCTGTATTGGTGTAATGTACTCAGGTGAATAAGATGCTTGTGTGATGTTACTCTGAGTGTATATCCACACCGGGAAGGCTTGAAAAATATGCCTGACCACGGTGGGAATCGAACCTACGACCTTTGGAATACTAGCCCAATGCTCTGCCAACTGAGCTACGCGGTCAGGTCGAGTATGCGATATTTCGGAACTGAGTCTAGTTCCTTCGATATCAGTGTAATCTAATAATCATTAAATATAATGATTATTAGATTACGGGTGATATCGAAGGAACTACATTCAGTTCCGAAATACCGCATACTCGAACCGAACAGACCGCGTAGCTCAGTTGGCAAAGCATTGGGCTAGTATTCCAAAGGTCGTAGGTTCGAATCCCACCGTGGCCAGGCATATTTTTCAAGCCTTCTCGGTGTGGATATATACTCAGAGTAACATCACACAATTAAGTAAATTAAATTATTTGACATTCCAGTATATAAGATGACAAAAATTCGTGCAAGATGTATGAAAATTTCCTGTAAAGATATTTTCTGGCAGCGGTGCTGCTGGCTCTGCTGGACATTTTCCAGAACTGTACTAGAGTCTCGATAAAAATGTCTAAAAGGTTTTTTGCACAAAAAACATTCACAAAAACGCTGTTCTTTCATGTTGGTTTTGCTTGTTTCTATTCTTGGGTTTCATAGACGTCACAGAAGTGACGGGGGGTCAAAACAAAACACAATTATCAGAGTGAGTCGATTGTTCGTTTTATGTATTAGCCTTGTGTTTGGTGGCAAATGCAGTACATGGAATTTCGTATCATTTTCTCAATCCAGTACAGCATAAGCATCAATACATTTGAGGTTATTAAGATTCACTGCATAATGCCTTAGTGAAACCCAAGAATTCGTGCATTTAAAACTGCAGTTTGCTATAGAATTACATACTCCGCGTGCTCAAAAGTGATTTCCAAATTTACTGTAGCTGAAAGATATTGCCCAATCAGAAGACATGTTAGTAGTGACTACGATGTATAATAATAAAAGTGCAGAGAGCTGAATGGTAATAAATTTAAAATATTCAAGTCAAGAGTCATTAGAGTGATGATTTGCATTGGAATTTCATATCCAGTAACATTATTACGGCTATGTATAGCAGAAGACTTTCTAGAAGAGAGATCTTGGGACCAAATTGGGGGTAAATTACTAAAATGGCCAATCAAATAGCGAGGGTACAATGTACATTATATAATAACTACAGTGAAACATTTGATTGACTGTGCAGGATCAGGATATCCTGCACGAGGAATTAAAATACCTTCGCGGGATTAAATGTCATTGTTGCACTAAGGCCATGCCGGCACGAGGGATGTTCCTCGACATTCGGAAAGCATAAAAATACACTCGCCTGCGGCTCGAGTATTTTTATGCTTTCCGAAAGTCTCGCAACATCCCTCGTGCATGGATCACGCAATCCTGCACGGATTGCGTGATCCTTAAATAATGAAATGTCATAAGCCTTAGAGTACATTGCACCTCGTCTTGACATTAACTAGCTGTAGAATTCTCTGTATTAATGGTTTCTGTTTTTCTTTGGTGTTCACAAAATTTCTAACTATTATAACATCATGTAAAATGTGTTTCAAATACCTCCTGTCCCATCTCCTCTTGTAAAATCACCACCTAAGAAACAAAGAACATTTAGTGCTTAATTTAAAAAGCAGGGTGTCCACCCTTTGGTAAAGGGGAAATTCAAGGTCTTTTCCAGGACTTTCAAGGCCCTTTTTCTGTAAATTTAAGGACCTGGAACTGGGAAAAATCTTTGAAAATGGCACGGATTTGCGGTGAATAATTCACTTTATTCAGTAATTTTAATCAAAATCACTAATGTTTGCACAGCTGGAGGTTAATTAAGGAAACTAATTCCAGGACTTTCAAGGACTTCTACTGATTTTCAAGGACTTTCCAGTCCTGGAATTTTTTTTTCCAATTCAAGGACTTTCCAGGATTTTCAAGACCTGTGAACACCCTTTAAATGACGCATGTCATAGTAACAAACTCATTCCCTTCATGCTGTTGATCTGACAAGCGAAGATAAAGATCATGATGATAATCTCTTGTACAGTAGGTCTGTTAATTAACATTTGGTACTAGAAATTGTCTTAAATTCTGCCTATAATGTTAGGTGCATGGGTGGATTGCCCCCCAATCAGATACAATAGGCCTGCTGATGTTCAAAGCTTGGTACAAGCTATGATATCCTGAATCAAATCAGTAAGACTGACTTGGATCAAGTCTGTCTCTCTAGAGTGACACTAGTAAACACTAATCACAGGCTTTTGAGCAAGCAGCCTGGTTGTTATCTTGTTAAGTTTATGGTTATAACCCCTGTTTGAGCTCTAGGTTTGCAGCTTCCCAAAAATACAGGATCCCTGTACCAGATTTTAATTTTGGTTATTATGAGATATATTAGATAGGAGTAATATGGGCGCATCTTGAAAAATAGTATTCAATAATATTGAAGCACAGAAAATCTGTAACCTGTGGCAATCCTATCTAGATGTCACACAATGCTGCTGCTTCTCATGCAAGAATGTTTTATAAAGTTAACAGTCATCATAAAATTAACCCATTGAGTGGCAGCACTCTCCCAGCCCTGACAAGTAAAATCGTCTGGCATATGTTAGACAGTCAAATAATAAAGTAGGGCACATCTGGGTGCATGGCAATATAAAATTTTGTAGTTTGTTTATAGTTTGTTTATTACGTGAAAGTGAAGTTGGAATACTGGGAAACCCATACATAATTTATAATTATTGTGATGGTACAATTAACTTTTAGGGCGGGGATCTGGGTATATATGCTTCCCCAGGATAATTAAATTTTTAAAATCTAGAGTTGGTAGAGCACCATTTTCAGCATTTTGGGGGCAATTCTAACACATACGTTTAAGAACTCCACCAGTGGTGTCAAGTAATGAAGTAAATGTACTTTGTTACTGCATGTACTTGAGTACATTATTTTTGAGAAGTCAGCATGTAACAAAGTAAACTTTTTCTGGAGTACTTTTACTTGGAACAAAGTTGTTTTAAGAAGTAACATTTCACTTCGTTATTTTCATTTTGTGGCGAAGTATTTCGTTACTTTCTAAATTTATGTGACTTATTTCTGATTTATTTCAATTTCGGGATAGGTAATACGACCTCTACATGTGTCTGGAATCTCTCGTTTGTGACTTACTTAATTACAAGCATTATTTATTTAATGGATTTTTTATATCTTCGACGAGGGTCTGGAAGGTAGACCATGCCGTGAAATATTGTATATTTGCAGTGCACACATATAATGTTAATTAATGTGCTGTTTTGTGTCTTTTGCATGTCAATCCATTGGAGACATCCCCCCCCCCCTCTACATGCTATAGACAATAGTACTGTACTTTTGTCTTTTACTTTTACTTTGTACAAGTTTCAAGTATTTTTTAAGGATACTTTGTACTTTTTACTTAAGTATGTTTTGCCTCCAGTACTTTTTATTCTTACTCAAGTTGTTTTATTGTTAATTACTTCTACTTTAAAATTTTACTTGAGTACAAATTCAAAGTAATTTAGGCACCACTGAACTCCACTTAAATTCACACACCAATCCACTAGGACTGTTCGGTATACCGATATACCGAAACTCTCAGTATTAAATCAACATCGGTATATCAATACCGGATATTCAACCATACCAATATACCAAAATTTCCGATATACCGGAATTTTTCGGTATACCGTGTTAAATTTACCAACTATATGGCAAAACCATAACCTTTATTTTACTACTGAATGACAATTCATAGAACTTTCTACTGCATGCAATGATTTAGAATTTCCACTTCAGTGAGATTTTACACTGAGTATGTGTCGTTCGAAACATGTTCGAAACAGCTTCGAAATTATCATTTTCCCTTTTAGAATTACTCAAAATTTCCTTAAAATTTCCATTAAAGAATTTTCCTTTATAATTATCAAAGGAAAACCGGTTTACCGATAATATCGGTATAATTTTTTCGGTATACCGATACCGGAAATTTCTCATACCGAACATTCCTACAATCCACAACATTTAAAACATATACTAACACTCAAGATATAAAATTTACATTATGTGAAATAAAAATATAATGCACAGGCTTTGTATTTACCATAATGCTTCCAAGGGGGCAGGGGGGGGGGGGGCTATATACACTTACCTTGGATCATAAAATCTTTAATGACTCGGTGGAAAAGACTTCCCTTGTAACCAAAACCTTTCTAAAAAATTGAAAATATTCATAATCATCTTATGGAAGCATGTCCCTAACCAGAAACATTGTCTGCCATTAAAGGAGTAAAATATCAAGGTAGGGAATATCACAATGGCTGAATAGATTAAAAGACATGTTGCGCAAAACTAAACTTCCATCACATAATATGTCAGGTGGGTCATTAGGGGCATACTGGCCTGGAAAAAATTTGAAATCTGAGGCCCCCCGGAATGCAGGCAAAATTCTGCATTTGTGGAGACTAGTTCACAGTTAAATTTAGCGGTGGACACTTGGGGGAAAGTGGTGGACACTTAGGAGGGAGGAGTGGTGGACACTTGGGGGAGGGAGTGGTGGACACTTCGGGGGGGGAGGTGGAAGTGGGGGGGGATCCCCTTTAGAAACAATTTCTGAAAGCCCTTGAATGATAGCTAAATATAACTCTTCATACAATGCTATAAATTGAGCTAGATATTGCATAACATTTAAGGCAAAGAAGGTCAAGGAACAAAGATTGGAACCAGCAACAACGGGGTGGCCATGTGCTGCCAACCTAATTTGCCCCAGGCCCAGGACAAATTGCCCCTTTTGTGTTCCCGTCATAAAGCTGTACACACCAAATATGTTGTGTTGCAGGTCACTAAGTTGTAGAGGTGTGCATCGGATCAGATTTGACGTTTATAATCCGACAATTGACTAATGTTTAATTAAAATCCGATCCGAAATTGTCTAATCCGAATCCTATCCGAATTTTGATAAAGAATTCCAATCCGATCCGAAGAATTCTTTAATAAAATAAATTTCTCATTCAAGTTGAAATATTTAACCAAATAAATATAAATTAAAGCAAGAAATACATGTCAAGAAGCTGATAAAGTGACGTCCAATTGAAGTATCAAACAAATAATGCAGCGACAACTGCGATAATGCTTTGATAAATGCATGTCAGATAATTAATTCTTGCGATAATGTGTGGATAATTAATTCATTTTATTTCGGATATCGAAGTCCGATCCGATCCGACTACGAAACAACTTTATCAATCCGATCCGATATGAATATTTTGGTTCCGAAATCCGAACGGATCTAATCAGATCGGATTCGGATCAGTTTCGGATCGGATTTGCACACCTCTACTAAGGGCCTGTTCATATGAGCCCGGTTAACCGAACTGGCCCGCTTTGCTTTCACATGAGGCGGGCTAGCCTGGCAATCATATCTATTCATAGTAACGATTTCCCGCGATATTTTAGCGGGAAAATAAAATTCGTATTTATTTGGCAAAATTTTATTTTTGTCAACGGCAACAGCTTCAGGTTTAATTTCGATAAATTCTATAGTTTTGGACATTTTAGACTGTTTATCAGTGGAATAAAGCACGCAAATTTCCTGCCCGGCTAGCCCGGTTGTGCATTCATATGAGCCCGGCAAGCCGGAATCTTGCCTCGCTCAAGCAAGATCCCGGCAAACCGGGCTGGCCCGCTTCTCATATGAACCCAATCCTAAATTAATATACAAACAATATGTGAGGCGGGATCTCGGCACTTGAAAACCAGCCAGGCTAGGGCTCATATGAACAGCCCCTAAGTTGTATCACTTGTCAATATATTAAACGATTACATAGCTCACATCTCAGTATTTAACAAGCAATTTTTCAAAGCAAAACGCATATTTTACGGTATTAAATACAGACATATTAAATGTTCTAATATTGCTACCTTGTGTGTACAAAGCTGGTGGAAATTTTCGGCAGTTTTAGGGACAGCATCTCCAAATAAACCAACTACAATACGTCCAGCTTTCTCCCCGCCAATCGTTATATCAAAATAACACTGTTTCGTTACTTTAGCATCCTCAGCTAAAGCGCTGGCAAAAACCATGAGAAGAACTAAACCTAATTTTGCAGACACCATTTTGACTTTTCAACAACAAAGAGTTACAGTCCAACAGAGGCTTGGGAGATTTGTGTGGTTTTCCTATATAGGTACTCGTGGACCAATTAGAAACGAGGAAATACCTGCAATGTGCACGTGTCATTTCAATAGAAGGCCATGCATTTTATTTTGCTTTGTGCCTGTGAATGGCCAAAAGCCCAAAAAATAAAAACAGCATTGTAAGGTTGTTGGTTAATTTAAATCCATTCAGTAGATTTAAATATAAATTGTACATTTAAATATGTACTATACTTGGAGAATAAAAATGCTTCCTTAATAATACCAGGGGGGAGTGAAATTTAATTGACACGAGGGGAGGGTTCACAAAATTGTAAGTTTTAATAATAGAATACAGCTGTTTATGAAGTTTATGAAGGCAATAATGAAGGCTTTTATCGCGCTTTCTGCTGTTATTATTTGTTTGGTATATCTACTGTCTCATACCAAACCTGCTTCAGCAGCAAAAGGCCCAAAAGTAACTGACAAGGTAGGAATATAGTGGTCACTGTCTGATGCTTCTACAATTGTGAATTGTGGGCAGCATACAGTATATGTGCATGCATGGTGAAAGGTTTGTACTGTAGATGGGAATTTCGAATGGAATTTTTATACATTTATTAGACCTACCCAGGAGCAGTTGCGAAAAATGCAACTATCGGTTCCTGGGCAGGAAGCGAACCAACGCCGGGGCTGCATGGCCACAGCTAGGTTTGATTCCTGCTGCCAAGAGTTGCATTTTTCAGAACTGCTCCTGGTTATAGGTCTAATAAATGTATAAAAATTCCATTCAAAATTTTCATTTATACAGTACAATTCCCTTATATTGAGTTATATCGGGTGATCGAGAGATGCCCAAAATTGTGATAGCCTATAACAACTATTGAATGAGGTTGAGCATGATATGAAGAATTATCAAGCCAGAAGTTTGTGTTATCAACCAAAGTCGAAGGCTGAGGGCTTGAATCTGCTTCATAATGCTTCATGACTTCATATCTGGTGAAAACCAAATTCAATCATTGTTTTATTATTTATTTAAAAGATGAAAATGACATCTGCACCTGAGGTCTGTGGTTCAACTCATCATCATTGAAATAATGACCAGTTCTTTTCCCCAAATATTTACTTTTTCCTTTCATGCAAACACGGGCAAAGGCGCAGCATCATATTGTGACTATCGTCTTGGTCGTGTTTCCATATTTACATGATGTCATTTCATTGAATATGACATTGAATATGATTTTATCACATTTGATTTATATATGATGTCACTCGGCTCAATAATATGCCAAAACTCCATATTTGGTCAGCTATTCAGTTGATGATGATTTCACAGTTGGCTGTTAGCCAATCAGCAACCATGATCTGCAGTAAATAAATAATATGCATATATTTAGTTTAGAACCTAAAGTATATTTTTATATTTGAATAAAAATATATGATAATCATATAACCAATAGATTATATCTCCATTTCTATCTCCATGACTATACATGCAAGTACAGTAGAACAGCTTCTCAAAACTATGGTGTAATTTTGCAGGTATATTTTAATATCACAATTGGTGGTGAAAAAGCAGGTCGAATTGTGATTGGTTTGTTTGGTGGCACTGTACCAAAGACGGCTGAAAACTTCAAGGCCTTAGCTACTCACGAGGTTTGAAAATCATTGATCAAATGTATTGAATGGCAAGTGGTTGAATATGGGGGAGAGAGACAGATTTAAATTATTAACTTGTTAATTAAGTCACAGGCTGATCCACCCCTCGCAGAGGCCGCAAGCAATATGACAAATTCTTCATTAACTCGTTGAATTGCATTGCTCCTCGATGCACCCTACTTTATTGTTTTACTCTGTCTAACTTACCCAGATAATTTTACTTGTTAAAGGGGAGAGCGCTTGTGCTTAATGGGTTAATGGCACTTATAATGATATCACTTAATGATAATTTAAATGGCAGCACTCTCCCCCTGACAAGTAAAATTGTCTGGCAATCACACAGAATAAAATAATAAAGTACCTGAGTGTAGGGTGTATTGGGGCGCATTGCCACGTAATGGATCGATTAATACAGGTATTACTGCCCCCTAGCAATTAAGGCTGGTAGCTAAATCAATTTTCACATTTTTTACACTTGAGTGCTTCAGTGCTGGGTTGTTAATTAATACACTAAGCCTCTTTGAAGAATGGTCATATTAGCTCCAAAGTAAAAAGAAGATTGACATGAATTTATAATCACTTTCATTGGAAATTTTGTAATATTAGAAGATGAGGTTGAAAAGGGCTTATTCTTTAGCACTTTTGGACTGGGGGCTTATATTAAAAGGAGGGGCTTACAGTAATAGAGGAAATATCATAGCTTAGAAAACAAGACATAATTCATGCCTAAACATGTGCCCATGTGTATACAACTATACGTGCTATAAAATCAAAAGAAAAAAATTGTGCAACTCAAGTGAGAATGTGCATGTGCTGTACAAATTATATAATTTTATAAAATTGCTAATTAATTATGACATTTCTTCTTAATTTTTAAAGAAAGGATTTGGGTACAAAGGCAGTAAATTTCATCGTGTAATAAAAGATTTTATGATTCAGGGTAGGTAATACTAGGTATATTATAGCATCATTGTATCAAGGTTGAAACTTCATGTTACAAACAAATTTGTTTCCCATTTAGGAGGTGATTTTACAAGAGGTGATGGGACAGGTGGTAGGTTAAGTTAATATATCATATCAAACAAGATTGAATAAGAATTGATAGGGAATGGCAAACAAGAGTTAGCATGAGGTTGAGGGCCCCCTATACTTTTTGCGTGAAGCGTGAAGGGCTTATTTTACTTCGCCGTGAAACGTGATCGGGCCCCCTATACGTTTTGCGTGAAGCATGAAGGGCTTATTTCACTTAGCCGTGAAACGTGATCGATGATTTTCTTAATCCGTGACTCGTGAAAAGGCAAAATATTTTTACGTGAAAGCATATTGTGAAGAGGTATAAGGGGCCCTCTGAGGTTTTGTATCTGCGTAGCTTGCTCCATTAGCTAGGATTTGCTCAGCACACATAACTTATGCTACCGTATCGTTTTGATAGTTGTTAGCCTGTAGCCAATCAGGAACTTAGAAAATTGCATAACAATTCTTTCAAATGTCATTCATTTGAAATTTAACATGGCGTGGCGTTGATGAATATGTTTTCATATGGGATTAAGAACACCCCCGACCTTTCCCCGCCCACAATTTAGAACCATCATATAACTAACATGCGCAGATACGTGTGCGCTTGACGTACCTATTGTTTTTTTCAAACGAGAACAAGATAACTGTAAATGGTTACAGTATAAGTATTTGGGGCATCCCACTCGATACAACTAATTAGCCTTTCTCACGCCGCCATTTTTGGGGGTACGGTAATTTTTCATGAACAATGTGAAAAGCAATATTTCAGAACAAACTAAGTATTACAGAGTAAATTTATCATCATACACCCACAAAATTATAAAATGTCGCCGTTAGGTGGTGTTACGCTCGCAGGATTGGCAAAAAAGTACCCCAAAAATGGCGGCGTGAGAAAAGCTAATGGACCATTTGCATTATAGACTAAATTTTGATCTAAACAAGTCTAGACAAAAGTTTCATCACAGCTTAAAAGAGCATCACAAAATTAGTAATATTCCAAAGTTTCGTTGCGAAATGTTGTAAAATGCGGATAATATAGCCTTGCAAAGTTTGCCGTTTTTCAGTCATTTTGTATTACAAACGGGAAATTGACAGCCCCAAAGGTAATTTAGGCTGTCAATTTTCCCCGCGTATTGCAAAATGACTGAAAAACGGCAAAAGTCGCAAGGCTATATTATCCGCATTTTACAACATTTCGCAACGAAATTTTGGAATATTACTAATTTTGTGATGCTTTTCAAGCTGTGATGAAATTTTTGTCTAGACTTGTCTAGATCAAAATTTAGTCTATAATGCAAATGGTCCATTGCAGAAATGTTTTGTAGATGGAAATTTCGGGCGTAAATTTTATACATTTATTAGATCTAGCCAGGAGCATTATTGCGAAAAATGCTGCTATAGAGTATAGTCCCTCTGGAATCAAGCCTGCAGCTCCGCGATTCCGGTGCTGCGTTTTTAAGAACCGAGCTACAGAGCCGTTCAGTTGACAGTTTTTTTTCAGGGATCTTTTAGGGCCGTAAAACGGCCCCCAAAAGGGCTCAATCTTGAATTTGAGTTTTGAAACTAATCATCTCATCAAAAGATTCTGTGCAGTAAAATGAAGTTGTTTGAGTTAAATTCATGACGTGTGCAAAAAAGGTTTTAATTGACTGGAATTCATTTCACAACACAAGAACAACAATGCATTCACCGTCTTTAACCAGTTTATAGTGTCCCTTTGTGCCCCTGCTTTAACACATTGTATCTCAACTACACTAAAGTGGGTACAGGTTTCAGCCTCCCAGGGGAGACAGCCGCCTCAGACCCCCAGCTGTTCAGCTAAACTCAATCTTCTCTGCAAAAACGGATCCAAGAGAAAATCCTGGAAAAAAACCCTGGTTTATCATAGTTAGTAGAAAATAAACATGGTTTGGAAGCTTGACAAAAGTCATTGTTCTATGTTTTTGTCCAAGTTTATGGAAATTTGTGCACTCGGATTCTGTATAATGAGGCGATTACCCAATGAGAACCTTAGTTTCAATCGCTGAACCCTAATATTTGAATATTAATAAACGCAAGACAAAAGATGTGTGCACTCGGAATTACATTTCAACATCAGTTGAAGTTTGTATAGGAAATTCTTTGAAGTTTACCGGCCTTCCTAACCATGTTTATTTCTATTAACTATGGGTTTATGTATGTACATGTGTACTAAGGTGATGCAAATTATGAGGTGGATGGTCAAGTTCCGACAGAATCTAGTTCTGATCGGAACTGAAAATATTTATTACAGTGCGCCCCTAATATTTAAAATGTGGCTTGAGCGCTGGTCTCCTACCATGAAATATTATTGTATTAATGGTGGTATGTTTTACACATCTGTATCATAGGAAAGAGTATATATGGGGAGAAGTTTCAGGATGAAAATTTCAAGATCCTTCACTATGGTGCTGGATGGTTAAGCATGGCAAATTCTGGTAAAGATACAAATGGTTCTCAATTCTTTATCACCACTGTAAAGACACCATGGTTAGATGGAAAACACGTCGTGTTTGGCAAAGTTTTAGAAGGAATGGTAGGTAGCATGTCAGAAACATAAGTATAGCGCATAACGTTTGATTTCAAACCTAATAATATACATTAAAAAATTTCTCAATTCTGTTTGGCTGAGAGCAGTGCAATTTTTTCGAAATACAGTGCCAAAAAATGAAATAGAGGGCAAAAAAAGAAATTCAGTGCAAATTTCTTAATTTTCTAATTTTTCTTAATTTTTTTAATTTTTCAAATTTCTTAATTTCTTAATTTCTGAATGTGATTTACGCACGTGACTTACGCACGTACAGTATTATTAAATAGAGACGTATAGAGAATAATACATGTGTGCGCGGAAATACCAGATTTATTTCGAGTGTTGAACGTGATACCTCAAGAGTGAGCGCAGCGAACGAGTGATTATATAAAGTCTTTGAAAAGCGATAATTTTTACAGAAAAGCGATAATTTTCACATGTAAAATTATAAATAGTCTCACATGTGAGATTATCAGTTTTATATCAGTGCTCGAAGTACTATTTAACACATGAGTATAGCAGTATTTTGTCAGATATAAGGACACGAGGCGAAGTCGAGTATCTTTAGGTCTGATAAAACACGCACTGCGAATGTTTTAAATTGCTTCAAAAACGATCGATCATTGGCGACGTAATTTTAAAAAATACGTTGTTTCCAGGTTGCACTCGAAACCATACTATTACCTATACAAATTGCACTCTACTTAGTTCAACTATATACCATTGTTATATAGGGGAAGCCTCGCATATCGATTTTGTCCACAAGAAACGTCATGTGTTCGTTTGTGTGTGTGTGTGGGGGGGGTTGCAGCTGTGACGTTTCTCTGCAAAACATCATGGAAAAATTCGATCGTTTTTTTCGAAAGCCTTAACATTTCGGAATCATCTTTGCAGAATATAAAAAAGAAAATAACTTGATACAAACACCAGTCTATAGCTAGTACTATACATTCGTAATACCATACCTCATACCTGTTCTATATATTTATATTATTAATACGCTTTTCTTGCCTTGAAAACACTCAAATTTCAAGAAAAACGCGCTAAAATTGTCAATATTTTATGGGAAAAAAGTTGTTTTGAGAAACGTTGGAATTAAGTTCATATATTAAAGATGCTGAGTGTAAAGTCCGTATAAATGTAAACAAACGCTTTGTTTACATTTTGAACTAGCATATTTGTAAAGTATATGTTGTACTGAATATTTAACACTTTTCTGGTTCGCTATATGTAAATGAATATAAACTAGAGCACGTTTCAATTCAAAAAAGTTCGAAAGATGCAAAACTTTGGGCAATGTTTATCAGTGCGGGTCCCCCTTTGTTATTTGATAGCAGACCTGATGCGCAGAACCACAGTTAATAGACTAGTTAACTGTGGCAGAACGGACTTTACTAATTCAACTGCCTCGAAGACCGGTCATCATTATGACAAATTCAAAATTTCTGTACTATAAAGAACAAAATATCGATAACTATGTGTGACGTTTTTAAGGGGTGGGGGGGGGAGGGTCTCCAGAGGAACGTACATATGACGTTTTTCATGGACAAAATCGATATGTGAGGCTTCCCTATATATAGCTAGGGTGAACAGCGAACGTGATTGACTGATTTGTGGCTTTAGATAAATGCAATGTATCTCGCCGGGCAACAGTGAAAAATTGTTGCCCGCTCCGACCGGCTACGTTCATAAATAAACAAAATGGCGACACAATTCGCAAGTTTTTAAACTACAATTTTCCAAGTAAATAAATAATGTAAAAATAAACAACAGGCAACAGGGTATGCTGCTGAAACCGCTTTAGTAGGTTCTTTTAATTTTAAACTTGTTTACACTTTTGAGTTTTTTTCATGAAATACAATCTTTGTATGAATGTTGTTGATTTTTCTTTCGTCGCTATATAGCAAAACCCTTAATGTCCGTTCCCTCGGGAAATAGTTGTGTTTCTCTCGGGAGCAGACATTAAGTGTATATGATTTATCTGAAGGGATATTAGTACAGTAGCTACATGATGCGAATTTAAGGCACTTTTTACCGTATTTTCTGATGTTTCTTTTGAAAGGTGCGAATGGTGCGAAATTTTTAATTTCACTTTAATGTTTTTTTCCTAGGATGTCGTTAGAAAAATCGAAAATGTTGACGCTGATCAAAGTAAGCCGAAGAAAGACTGTGCTATTGAAGACAGTGGAGTGATTCCTGTAGAAGAACCTTTTAATGTTGATAAAGACGCCGCAAAGGAATAAACTATCATAAAATTAAAATAGAATGGACCAATTGCGCATCTAAATTACGCTTTCTGAGTCGGATAAATTTACAGTTCACCAATTCAGGAAGTTTACATATTTGTGATTTTCAGTACATTTTAAGATGAAATTCAGTATACTTTTGTAGAGAAAACTTCATCTTCGTCGTCTTTTTTGGCTGTTAAAGTGACCGGAAGTGAAAAATCCTTTAATTAACGTCACTTCCGTTACATGACAAGGAATTTTTAGATGGAAATTTCAAGATATTCCTCTCACAGATGAATCGTAACTTGATGTCATGGAAAACGATGGGATTTTCAAAACAGTGAAAAGACAATGGAAGACCAATGGAATATTCTGAACACTGGATCGTGATTGGATGGCACTGTTGTTGTGCTAAATGTTATACAAAGGACATTCCCAAACAAAATCCCCTACATCTCATGAATAACATCTCGTTCGCAGGCGCACTTTGCATGTGGCCTGCCAGTGGGACTCAGCAGTGGCTCACATCGTGTATACGGAGCTATACTCATTCTGTCAATATGTGTTCGCACTGTAGGCCTTGGGCTGTTTTCCAAAATTATTTCGCTTCGTGGCACCCATGTGGGAAATACTTGGTTTGGGGTTTATTTGAAAGGCATATAGGTACATCACTACCAAAAAAAGTTCCCAAGCAAAAAGTTGCCCAATACCGAAAAAATGGGTGATCAATGATTATCCTCTATTAAATTGTATTACAGCAAAAAATGGGAAATTTTATAATTCAATTACAATAAAAATGACTTGCATCATCGGAAAACGTACAAAAAACCGCATATAAGACTTTTAAACAGCTTTTTGATTTTTCAAATAGTCTTTGAGTTATTGCTGTTTTAAATGTGAAAATTGGACCAAAATGTCGCAATAAGGACTGGGTACTAGGTCAAAAACGCGTTTTTGACAGCGTATAACTCAAAAACAATTTTAGGTACAAAAAACTGTTTAAATGTCTTATATGTAGGTTTTTGTACACTTTCTGATGATGCAAGTCATTTTTGTTGTAATTGAATACAAAATTTCACATTTTCTTACTGTAATACAATTTAATAGAGGATAATCACTGATCACTCATTTTCTCGGTGCTGGGCAAGTTTTTTGCTTGGGAACTTTTTGTGGTAATTAAGCATCTATGGTTCTATGAATCGAACCACAGAAAATCTATTTCCCAGGGGGGTGCCACGAAATTGCTTTTCTAGGCACTTTTTCGCACAACAGCCCACGGCCTACTGCTTTTTCCTCTGGCTTTTTCCAACTTGTTGATAAATCCGGAATAATTTGTTATTGTTCCACCAAATTTGATATCGTCCGCGCTCTGCTGCCTCTGCACGCAACAAGTTGTTGACACATTGATGAATAACCCCTGGGAACGAGGTTGGTTTAGGACGACAAGTTCGTAGCAACAAGTAGCAACTTGTTACGTAGACTTTCGCAAAGTCCTTTTCAAATGACGTCACTTTTATTTTGCGCGCGGTTCTCAACTTCTCATCGCTCTCAGTTTACTGTCTTAAGCCTATTTTCCACTTCAATCGTAACGTTTCGTAGCATTTTCTTTTGTGTTGAAGTCATTAGTTCCACTCTAGTGCTCAGGAAACAAAGAAATACGCTTCGGTACGATTCGGTTGAAGTGGAAAACGGCCTTTGATCAGAGAGTTTTAGATTGACGTATTTTCGTGTTTCCCGCTAACCGCAAACGGCTAAAAATCACGTGACAGCCATCTTGCCGTCAAGTTACACGTTCGAAGTAGACGTTTTTACGCGAGAGAGGCTGTTTTCAAGTAGGTAGTTTCCCTCAAGGTTTTCATGCGTTTTTTGTTCTTTTTCTTGCGTATAAACATGGCACTTATGTTTACTGTCACAGAGTGTCACTATGACTTTATTTCTTGATAAAATAAGGATAGGTAACTGCTATCTTTGACTGAAATATTGTGTCGCTTTCAGTCGATGTCAATAAACAAAAGACGCGCAAAAGCATAGCCCAAAAGCATAACTGATTCACATTGTTTTTGTTGTTATTTGTTTAATTTTCTCATAATTCTGAGATTTAAAGTTTTATTCTTAGGCTAACTTTGTTTCAAATTTTATAAAAATCTGTTTGTATCTAATACAGAACTTGGAATAATATCATGACTACGAAACCCTTTCGTTGGCCAAGCATACAACATGATCTTGCATTGCCATTGGCTAGGGAGGTTTGAACGGGTGACGACCACAAAAGCCAATGCAATGGATTGGGATGCTATATTGCCCACCCATTAAGTTCACATTTTGGAAATTAAAACATCAGTAAAACTAAATCGTTTTTAAAATCCGAACCGCGTGCAAACATGTAACGGGTACCTCGAATATACCGGTTTGCAGTTTGCCGTAATCAGACGAACGTCAATCTAAAACTCTCTAATACAATAATACTGACGTGTAAGTGTAACGCACAGCCTGTATTAAGCTCCGGTCGAACGGAGATGAGAGTGCATGAGAGTTGCTTGAGTTGGTAGGCGACTTACCTAGGGTCGTTAAAGTGGGGACCGCTGGGACTGACGGTCGCAGGCACATTTCAGAAACTACTTGCAGGCAAATTTTGTATAACATTTGAAACCAGAAGTTATAAAATAAATTTTGTAATTCCTACCCCACTACGTACTTTCCTATCTGTTACTATTTGATTGTAGTTAATGTTTATTGGGGAAAAATATATAAAGCTATAACTCATAATGGCCTCTACTAATCGGGATCTATATAAATGTTCCGCAGCCATTTTTCTGCACCCTTGTTCATACTTCCTCATAGAGCTCTTATGGTTATTAAACCTCTTCCTAAAAGTTGTTATCGTACTTCCCACATAAATTTTAGAGCAACTGATAGATCTTAATACATAAATTACACCCTCCGAATCACAATCAAAGGTCAATTTATCCAATACTTATTATTTCCATATTCAAATTTTTCCGTTTCCTCTACATATAACATATCCAACATGAGCTCCACCTTTGAATTTACTATATGAGTAAATTCTTAAACACGTCCGAATTTATCATTATGATAAATTCGCGGCACATTTTGAATTTATCAATAGAGTTAATCATAAAACCACAATCATTGCACAAGGTTTCTTGTTATAAATGTAATGGCACTAAAAGCGAGGCTGGTCGCCAGGGGCACAGAGTATACAGAGGCGGAACTCGCGGCGATTCCTTTGTTCTTTGTGTCCCCGTGCCACACGTCATTTCCACGCGCCACGCGAATTGCTCTGGCAAGTGTCATTCGTCGTGTTTTCAGTCAAAAGCATAGGAAAAACACCGTTCGAAAGTAGAAAAATAAATATTTTTGCGAAGTTGCTCCACCAATCTTCATTTTGGGACTCAAATTTGAAAGATAAATGGTAAGTGGTTATTTTTATGTAAAAAGATATACGTTTATAGGCTAAATACAAAGAAAAAAAAGTATAATACAATTTACAATCTCGGTGCTTGTGATGTTCTTGCCAAGAAGCAGATTCCCATTTCGCTAAATTAATGCGGGCCAAACGTATTGCTTTCCTGTCTTTTACATTAATAAGAAAGCATAGGTGCTGATTTGAAACACATCAGGTTCCATGCATGTAGCTTTGCGATTTGTGAGCAAAAATTAAAAGTTAAACTACCTATGTTTTTAATACTTTCTGTGCAACTAATAACCACATTCACAAATATATTCTCCAGCAAAGAAACGTTTCTTTACGGATTGTTAATCCGCATTTGAAGGCATGCTCATGCCGCGTCAGAGGTCTTTCACATGCAGAATAGCAGAGACTACTGTCATTGACATCCTTTGTCACAAAATTATGATGGCATATTGGACAGCTATGTTGGATAAGGCACTTCCTTAATAAATAGCCTGACACATAAGTTCATGCAGACTAAGTTTTGTTCAATTTCATTTGTTTTGTAGTCGGTATCTTCAACTGCTTGGATTAGTGGTGGGCTTGTCTGATCATTTCCTGTAGATAAATCAGATTGGCTAGGGTGAAATGCAATCAAATAGGCATCAGAATCTTCACCACAGCTGCCAATTGAAAGTGGTATCAAAATATTATCTACAAATAATATGCAAAATGCTCTGGTGAACTGGATGGGACTAATGGGTTGTCACAATCCCCCCCCCCCTGCCTAATGAGGCCAAAGAAGTTCTCCAGAGGATCTTGGTTGAGACATCTTGTCATGAGAAACTCCAGGGAATGATGTTGGCTAAGGTCTTGAAATGTAAATACTACAGTGTAATTACTACTGACAGTGTAAATACTACTGACAGTGTAAATGCTACAGTGAAAGTAAATACAACAGTGTAATTGGGGTTTAAAAATACAAAGTTTATTTTAATAAATGTTGTTTATTTTATTTCACATTTATATACATTTAAGAACTTAAATTATTCAAAAACTAAAGAAATTAAATATGTGTTCAATGTCAATGAATATTGCTATATTCTAAATTTTTTATTTCAAAATAGGAAATAACTGTTTCCTTTATAGTTGACCCCACATGCTGTCATGAAAATTAATACTAAATAAAAAAAGTAGCCAATGATCCATGTTTCCTCTTACAGTCTTTGCTTTATATGAAATGTTAAATACTATAAATAATTGCATTGTTCCTTTTATTGATAAAGAGTTTCCCATTAAAAGAGAAAGTATTCCCAATTAATACTTTGCCTGTTAAAGTGTGCTCACCCCTTGACGAGTAAAATCGTCTGGCGTTAGACAGAGTAAAATAATAAAGTAGGGTGCATCAGGGCACATGCAATGCAACTCGATGGGTTAACTGGATCGTCTGGTGTTAGACAGAATAATAAAGTTGGGCTAACAAGTAAAATTGTCTACCTTTACAGTACATCTTCCAAGGGGGGCTGGATTTGGGGAGCAGGCCTACCACTTGGGGGGGGGCTGCTTTTTTGAACCTCAATTAAACTATTACAGTAATCCGACGGCCTGTCTATATGGTCTCCGGGTACTAGGGAAATCCTACCCCCCCCCCCGAGCCACCCTGGCAAGGCAAAACTATATTCATATCCTATTATAGCAACTGCCATGCAAGTGTTTGCATGGAAAGTTTTGAACTTGTCTTGTCTAGTGGGATAATCCAGGTAGTAAGGTCACTCCGTCAGGGGGTACAGCATCTCTATTACTCAAGATTAATTATATAAACATTGCCTGAGGCTATGTAAAATTGGTAGGCATTCCAATATAAGATCAAATAGTCTCAGGTTTTCCCCAATCAGGTGAACAAATTAACATAGTAAATGTTGTAAGAATCTGCATCTGATTCATTGTAATGAACAATGTAGTTCAGCAGGAATGATTGGCAATCTAGAAAAGCAAAATAAAAAATAAACAGATTAGATTATTAAACATGTACAGACTTGGCATGTTTGAGAAATTATTGACCTTTGAGAGCCAAAAAAAGGTTGTCATTGCACAATAACCAATGCACTAATCTAGGGGAATCACTTTTAAGTATAATTTGACCAATCCCTCACCATTGGGTCAACATATAAGTTAAATAAAGTCTATATGAGAACTTTAGAGTACTGTGGCTCCATTTCCAAGTCCATCAGTCCATGTTGAATGTTGATGTTCATATTTTTCGTATCTGAATGCTGTTTATGCAATGTTTAAATTAACGACAACCCTTTCATACAACATAGCACTTCACAAAAAATATATTGATAATTTCATATATATGAGCTAGAGAAAAAAAACTCACATATAAAGTTGCCAAGTTCCAGCTGGAGTTCAGGTCTACAGAATCGAATCTTCAGATTGCCAGAAATTCTCACTCCTTCGGGTGTCTTTTCTCATTTTCGCCGTTAAAAATGGTATTCGTTCAATTCCCTTTCGCTAAGAAGACGCAGTGTGCCATTTATTTGCAAAATTCGTGCAGAAAATTAAGATTGATCGGTTACTGCGCTTAAAATCGCCGTTTTACTGTCAAAATTTTGCATTTCCCTATCTTTTCCCTGATAAAAAATGTGCTTGACACTTGCCAGAGGGTTGCGCATGCGCATTAAAAAAGTGGGGACATGATTTGCCTCGAGTTCCGCCTCTGTATATCCTTACTCTGTGGTTGTAGCCATGATAACATAAAAATTATATATTTTGGTATGGACAAAAAACTACAGAATCGTCGATTACGAGATCCATATTATATTTAAGGAACAAGTCTGGAGAAGTCTGGAGCTCTTGATGCTTGTATTCTTCGGAACATGGCCTAGATGAAAGTGTTAGCTAGATCTGTATGTTGAATGTGGCACATCTTTATGTAAGAAGAATATGAATACACTTAAAGCATCGGTTCAAAAAGATCATTTAACTCTCAACAAAATAATCTTTTTTCTTAGAAAAATGATATCCAGTATTATAGGTAATTCCAGCTTTTAGTTTATGCGTGCAGGGGAGAATGGGAAGTAAGGTATCGTATTGCTCATTATGCTGAAAAAATAAAAATGGCGGCTGTGTAAACACGGCGTGATAGCTTATACTTGTAAATATTGATATAATTCGGTTGATTTGGCAGATTTTATTGAAATTTTCACGGCATAATCAGCAATATGATACCTTTCTTCCCGTTACCCCATGCGCGCATAAATCAAATTAAAGCTGGAATTACCTGTTGCAATACTGTTATTTTTGTTTCAAATTCTTAGAAGTACAATATATTATATCTTTTAATTTATAATACCAATATTTTGGTCATATGCATTGGCCATATATCCTGCCTGATCACCATTTTTGAAATATCAATATATTATACCTGGAAAAAATATCTAAAACTTCAGTCCTGAAAGAAAATTCGAAACAGAATATAAAGAACATGCAACAACTTAAAGTATTAAAGTACACACTTACTGTACATGCTGCTAATTCTTCATTCATGATCAAGCAGTTTCATTTGATGGTTCAGTATCAGCTCGACCTCTGAATTTACTATATGAATACGTTGTTAAACACGGCCGAATTCATTAATACAACTGATAAATTCACGACGCATGTTGAACCCTAATCTAACCCAGACTCTATAACCTCTAGCCCTAATCTAATCTTAAATTGACCCTAATCTAATCCTAACCCAAATCCACTAACTTATTGGTTCTAACCCTAATATAATCTTAACCTAACCCTAGTCTAATCTAACATTAATCTAAACTTGATGATCTTTTCTTGCAGATAATCTTCTCACCCCTGCACGACCGACCTATAGCTCCCTTTTAATTAAGGCGCTTACATTTGTAACAAAAAGTCTTGTCTATTGTCTGTGGTTTTGTGTCGGGATGCGAACTTAAGTTTAACAGCAGGGCATTTTTTAACTATATAACTGGGGGGGCCAAAGCCCCCCCCCCCCAGCCCCCATGGTGGCCCCCCCCACTCAACCATTTTGGCCCCCCCAGTCAAAGTCCCTTTTCTCTAAAATATAAGCAAAATATGAAATTTAGAAGGGAGGTTTGATATTCTAGTAACTGAAATTTGCTTTGTGAATCTTATGTCCTGTCTTTTATGTTTAATAAATACCTTATTAGATTTTAAACATTTCCCAGGCAGTGGATTGCATTTCCCAGACCCTATAGATTTGAGTTGTTGGACAAGTTAGTGACCGCAGGGGACAACAGGCCCTCAACCAAGTGTTTTATAAGGGGGGGGGGGATAATTTTGGCCCCCCACCAAAAAAAACCAATTTGATTTCGAAACTAGAAGTATTTGAAATCATATATACATATAATCAAATATCTGTAATCGATATTTTGATAACATTTCTCCATCCTGACTCGTGGATATCATAGACTCACAAATCATAATGAACGAATTAATGAAAGGGCCTAACAAGAGACGTATAGAAGACTTTGAAAATGCCATTTCCCACGATTTAGAGACGCAAAATTTTCAAAATTTTTCCGCTCTGTGCCAACCATGGTGGCGTTTCGTGGGAGTCGGGAACTCTAAGTTTATCAAGCTGGCTCCCTAAGTGACGGCCAAGTTGTGGTATCTACATAAACATACTATGCAAGTACTTAACTGAAGGTTCAATCTATATCTACAGCATAATGTAATGCTGTATATCCAAAAATCTGTTTTAGAAAATGCAGGGAATTGCAGTCATAGGGGTAGAAAAATACAAACATTTTCTGGGAGAGAAAACCCCAGACCTCTCCAGGGCCGTAGCAACCGCGGGGGGGGGGGAGGGCTGGGGGGCTGCAGCCCCCAATAATTTGCTAATAATCATTCATTTTTCAAAATCATGCAGACCTTTATCCTTTAATCCATGACAAACTTCAAAGAATGAAGATATTACCCATACTTTCCTGCAACTTATCCAAAATATCGTTAATTAAATACACTTTCGCCCATTTAGTACTACTGAACTCTAAATTTCCACATACTAAAAACGCTGTTTTTTGACAATCAGAAATCTGTCAAATCTTCCCCAAAGTCCAGGAAATGGCATTCCAGAGACTCTAAATTTAAAAATTTCCTTGGGCCTTCGGCCTTTGCTTTCAGCGCGCCCAAACGAAAGAAGCTTCCTACGGGCCTGCTCTCCCCTCCCCCCACACTACTATTAAATGCGATACCACACCAAACGTTTTGTTACCAACAAACCATCTATCATTGCTCCACACTCTGTATAGTATGGTCCCTTTTTGTAGATGGCCCCCCCACTGACGAATTCTTAAAAAATGCCCTGTTTAACAGTTTACTCAAATAGTAAATTCAAAGGTCGATGTCATGTTGGATGGTTTCAAGTTGTTAGTGGCCGTTATGCAAATTGTTCCTTAAATTTAATATATTTTAATTTTTAATTCCGGAGTGTTTGACACTGTTTTGACGCTGCCCACAGTTATACAAACAAACAGGCATACTTCTTCAGTAGTAGCTTTGATTATTTTCTCGTCCGCTCGCAACAGATATCCCACGGAATATTTTAAAGAATTTCAAAATTGAAAGCATTCTTGTCATTATATTCACATAAGG